TGTTATTTGTTGGTCAGGTTGTGTGGACTGACATGCAATCCATACTGAAGATTTGAGGGCACCTAACAACAACAGCAACATTTGTTTACTGCAGTGATTTATATATATATATGAATTCTGGAGAAATATATATGTGTAAATAAACATAATGTATACACAGTGAGCTAGCTAGGGCTAGAGAAATACCTAATGGCCAGATTTCTAGAACTGAAACTTTCCATGACGTGATAAACTTTCCATTGTGTGGTGATGATATGGGATACTGTCATTCATCATTACTGTTTAGAAAAAGGTTAGGACTGGCATAAGGTGACATCCTCATAACCCCAATTAAGGAAACATGGAAACTGGTGGACGCAAATCATAGGCCAATGTTTCCAACTTAAACTCTTAAGAGTTTCAGGCAAGGCTTTCTCTTGACAAGGAGTCGTTTTTTCACTTCTTTGAGAATCAGTTGCCCCCACCGAGGGTAAGGAATTGATTGTGGTGGTGAAAGTAAACTGATAACAAATAGGGTAGAGAAACCACCAGCTGTTTTGTCCTTTCCGCTTGAACCCACAGCTGTTGAGAAAAGGGCATCATAATGGCAAATGTCAAAGCAGGGAGTTGATATTTACTTAGTGTATGACATGAGGAGGTAGAGGGGACCATGGGAGAGGTGACTATTGATATTAAGAAATGACACTGTTAACAGATGACAATCAGAACTGGAGAAGGGCATACAGAGATTGTTGATTGGACCTTAAACCTTTCTAGTTCCACTTAATCATTTTGGTTTCTTGCATTTTAGTTAATAAACCAGTTTGACCAGGGTATTAAATATCAATAGTGGTTCCACAAAAATATCTGGGACAACGTATTGTCAGAGAGGTTACCAGGTGAACACACGTTAGGAACAACTTTAAACGAAGGCTATAGGACATGCACAAGAACATACATATAATTTTTTTGAATCGAGTGCGGAAGCACAGCTGGGTATCTGTTCCTTGGATACAAGGATACCTTTCCCAAAGGACTGGAGAGGCAAATGAGTCATGCTAAGTGTGGTTCCTCCATTGACTTGCCCAGTGCTTTGTACTGGAGATCAAGGTTCTAAATGATCAGTGGTTCACAAGGAAGACATCTACAGTGACACTCAGAAGAGACAAGTCTCCCAGCAAGGGAAGTGTGTTGATCCCTAGCTGAGTTAAGACAAGCACACAAACCAATCTAATCCATCAGCCGATTAGCACAGAGAATTCCAGGTCTACACACAAAGGCCTGAGAAGAACACTGCCCCCACCAGGAAAAGGGAGAGGTTCTATTGGTGCACACTCATTAGATGTGGTCAGCGCTTTCCTAACTTTTCTCTGTGGATGACCTCTTTTTGAGTGTTTTACCTTTCAGTGTCTCCAGAAAGTAGGGTCCATTTAGAAAAGCGGATGCAGTGCCAAGTACCTTGGCAATGATGACAGAGGTCAGGTGAGGCAGGAGGCTAAAAGATTAGGCAAGATTAAAAAAAGAAATGTGTGGATTTTCATTTTCTTGACCTAGAGCTATTACACGTGGATAAGATGTAATGTTGCTGCTGTGAGGTGTCAGGTCAACGCCACTCATAATAAAGGAAACTCCATCCACGCCTTTTCCATCCCCTTTAGCTCTGAAGCCATGCTTCAGCTTATAGTTACGGTCACTGTGTCGATGAGGTCAGAAAAAAATCTCAATTTCTACTTTTTAAAACGAAGGCTGCATAGTGGAGTGGACTTGGGGGGAGGGATTGTATAACAATGAAAGAATTTTTCTTTTACTTTTCAAAGAGAAGAGCAAACTGGTGAGGGGGGAGGTTGGGCAGGGAGAAAAGTGCAACAATGAATGAATGGAAATCCAAAGTCTCTGCAAACTTTCATTAAAATTAATAAAACACACACACACACACACACAAAATCTCAATTTCAGAACAATAAGCTGGATTTGACTTGCCCATGTTTTACAAGGCATGGCTTTAAAAAAGATAAATAAAGTCATGTGAGCAAAGATGTTATTTACAATATGCATCCCTGTAAAATTAATGTCAATTTCCCCAAAGAAAGGGCAGCTAAGTGTTGAAAAAGTTAAAATACTAAGTGCCTTGTTGCTTTTGTACTTGTTTAAATGAGCAACCTCTAGCTTTTCCAGTATCCTTAACTGTCTGTGACTCATTTTATTTGTCCAATGGTAAATATTCAACCAGGGAAATGCTTCTACTTGACTCACGTCCTGTAACTTTGAAAGATAATGGAGCTACTACAATACAGACATTTTGCTTTGACCAGGAGACTTTGAATGAAACAATGTAGACTGCTCCAGTTAGCCTGATGAGTATTTGGCCTGGTGTTTTTAAAGTAGATGATATTTTCCTTTTTAAACAGTGTAACTGAAGGTTTTTCTTGGATAAGGCTCAAAATATATTCAAGCTCTGGAATGCTGTAGGTCAAAGGCTGTGTACTAACAGCTTATTAAGAATGCTTCAGAATACTATAGATACACTGTGAATGTTTGAGATTGAACAGGTAAAAAAATGCAACAGTGCCAATTTATATCTAGATAAGGTTCCTATCTTAATACTTCCTGGGTTGTTAAAAAGAGTATCACAATTTAATGGTGTACCCAGGTGATAAACAAGTTACATTTGTTCCAATGACTTTATTTTGTGAAGAGTGTGAAGACTAAAAATACAGTATTTTTGTTGTTGTTGTTATGTGCCGTCGAGTCGTTTCCGACTCATAGCGACCCTATGCACAACAGCCCTAAACCCTGCTCTA